ATTTGGCAGGATTCAACCTGCCTTTTGAAAAAAATTACCAAAGAGGTATGCTGAACTCTAAAATAAAATTTATTTTAATAAGCAGAATTCATAACAAAACTGAATATAAGTTGAGAAAAACTGTCTCAACTTACCTGATTGAACTTCTCTGGTTATTTATAGAATAAAGTATCTCTCATCTAGTCTTTAAAAAACTTCTATTCTGACACTTTATCCCTATCAAAAAATATTATAGTTCTTTCAGGGTGCACTGGCTGACACAAAAACGTCACGCTTTCAGCAACACTGGGTATAGTTATTTTCATGAAAACAAATTACATCCTGATATGTTGTATACAAGTTAACATTTTTTACATAATGTATTACATAATGCCATGAGAGATGTTTTTCAGAAAAAGGAACATAAAACATATATAAATCTACTAAAAAGGCAGTACAGAAAAGAACTATCTTTTTAACTCTTTAGATGTGAAGGCTCTAATAATGAACTGTTTTTATATACAATCTTAGGTTTCACTAGTACAGATTTTATGTCCACCTAAAGGGAGGTAACTGTCCTGCTGTTGTACTTTGAGTACTTAAGTAGCATCCTGAGTTTCATACCCAGGCCTGATGACAGTAAAACTTCATAGGCTTATGCGTGACTGTGGAGTCAGAAAACACTGTATACAAAAACACAGAAATTATCTAAGAAGTAAGGAAGTGCTTAGGTTTATTTATTTTTCAGCAGACAGAATCACATTAAGATCTGTAAGACTTTGGAACTTCCCTGCCAGTCCAGTGGTTAAGACTCCATGCTTCCACTGCAGGGGTCACGGGTTCGATCCCTGGTCGGGGAACTAAGATCCCACATGCTGCATGGCACGGCCAAAAAAACCAAAAAGATCTGTAAGACTTTAAGGGTCTTAGGAAAGAGTATTCATTTATAGCAAAGAAACTGTGTAAGAATATGCTTTGTGGGGTAGCGTACACTTATTGCACATCTGGTTCTTCTAAGCCACTTTAAAGCCATGATGCACGTAATGGTACTCACAGAGGCAACACAGGAGTGGAAACAACAGAATTCTTCCCAAAGTTTAAGTCACAGGTTTACTTGTCTATAGGAGACCTAAGTGTTTTCCTACCTAAGACCTGAAAAAAATACAGTGTATGCAGTTCACATATCAAACCAGATCTTAGGATTCAGAGTGAGGGACATCACCTGAGTTTGGAAATGTGAACGCTAAATTACAGCTGCAGCAATGAGGGCTGTTCCTACCTCCTGTTCTCATTGCTAGTGTGATGCTGCTCAGAGCCTCGAGTGCCCACGTAAAATAAAGATCTAAGAATAACCAAGGTAAGAGTGACAGAGAATTCCAATGTGCTGAATATGTGAGGCCAGGCACAAAATTAAACGCAAACTGCAAACAAAATACAACCATATACAGAAACATTTTAAAAGTATTCTTAAAGTAATAACAAAAAACCCCCAAACAACCATTATAGTCTGAAACTAAAAGAGCAAACACAAAAGAGGAAGTTTTCTCAGTAGCTACAACAAACAGCATCTGACGTCAACAATCTCTGATGAATATGTAAAAGCAACTTCACCCATAAAGATTTAATTGATATGGAAACTGCCATAAACAATTACAAAACGAAACAAAATATATAAAACTAATGTTTTCAGAAACTGTACAACAACCAGCACAGGAATGTGATCCTTTGGAGAAGGAAAACGAATGAGGTGAGCCTTATCACTGCCAATCTCACTGCCTGGAGGCACCATCCATGCCAGAGCCCAGGAGGGAGGAACTCAAAGAGAGTCTGTCCATCACAGTGAGCTGAAGACACAGAGATCAAAGTTTGGAGGGTCAGAGGCAGTGAGAAGGTGTGGGGCAAAGGGAAGGGAGATATGCAGACAAACTGTCCCCTTAGAGCGCGCTCTCAGCCCACCACTCGGAGAGGTCCTGTTTACACAAAACTCAGATCACACTGCCCCACTTCCAAAGCCTCCAATGGTCCTTCTCACTCAGACTAACAGTCACACCCTTATGACCTTCTTAGACCTTCTGCAAGTCCCCTCAATGCCAGCCACCCCTCCATTCTCCTCCGCAACCACTCTCCCCGCTACTTACTCCGCTCCAGCCTCCCTGGCCTTCCTGCCACCCCAGGGCCTTTGCACTGGCTCTTCCCTCCCTCCCATTCTTTGGGGACTGGCTTAAAGGTCATCATCGCTCAGGGAGGCCTTTTCCAGCCATCCTATTTAAAACTGGAATCTCCCTCCTTCTTGTCCCAAATCCCAAATTCCCCCTTCTCTAATGTTTCATTTTCTTCAATACTAGTGATTTCTCTCAATAGACCGTGTGCTTTATGTATTCACTAAAAAAAAAAAAAAAAAAAAAAAAAAAAAAAAAAAAAAAAGAAAAAAGAAAAAAGTTTGCCTACCCCCATCCTAAAATTCTAAAACGGGGGGCAAGGATTTTTGCCTGTTGTCACTGCTTTATGCCCACACCTAGAACAATGCTGACATGCAACAGCCCCACAGTACTAATTGTTGAATGAGTGACTGAGCACATAATTGACCTGTAGCAGCTAGGTAACAGCAGGTAGATGCATCATAATATACATATACCATGGGAACCATTAAAAAGTCATTTGATTTTGTATAGAAGGGCTTACCAAGGAAACAACTAGTCATTAAGACCATCAGTTATTACCTGAGTAAATGACAAGTCACAAAATGACAAACAGGTAAAAAAAAAAAAGTTCCCTTCCTCTAATAATAAAAGAAATGCAATAATAATAATAGGAGGAGGAGTAATAATAATGGTAATACTCAATACTGGCAAGGGTGTGGCAAAGAGAAGCACCTTCAAGAAACTCTAGTGTGGGGCTTCCCTGGAGGCGCAGCGGTTGAGAGTCCGCCTGCCGATGCAGGGGACGCGGGTTCGCACCCCGGTCCGGGAAGATCCCACATGCCGCGGAGCGGCTGGGCCCGTGAGCCATGGCCGCTGAGCCTGCGCGTCCGGAGCCTGTTGCTCCGCAACGGGAGAGGCCACAACGGTGAGAGGCCCGCGTACCGCAAACAAAAAAGAAAAGAAACTCTAGTGTGAAAATAATTACTACGTATTTTCTAGAAAATAAGTCAGTCTTAAAAAATGTTTGGATATGTATTTATCCAATAATTAAACTTCAAATAATCTATTCTGAGAAAACAACATGAAAGAAGACAAATAAGTACAAAGGTTCAAATTGCAACATTACTGAAGATCGTGTAGAGTAAGCAGAACCCAACTGCCATGAATAATAACTTCTGACGTTATTCCCCGTGCATTCTCCCCACTTCCTCAGAGGCTGCCCCTGAAGCACCTCTGTCCCACCCATATAGCACTCTCTGGTTGCAATTTCTCAAAACACTGTGCTTCTTGCCTTCCTGACACTTATCACAATTTCCAATTATGCATCTATCTTTTTATTGTCTATTTCACCCATTAGACTAAGTTGCACAAAGGCAGGATAGGAGTTCTCTGTTCACTGCTGCAGTCCTCAAGTTACACCTTCTGGAACCTGACAAGTATCCAGAATTTGTTAAATCAATGAATAAATGAACAAAACAGAATCTTACGTGGCCAGTAAAATATTTCTGAAACATTGATGGCATAGGAAATGCCTTCAATATGATATTACTAGGAAAAAACAAAATTCACGTCCAGTATTAACTATTTAAAAATGCATAGAAAGAAACACACGGGAAGAAAAATTTCCATAATATTAACTCTGGGCTGGATGCTAAAAATATAAGTACAATTACTTTCTTCTTCATATCTTTCTATATTCAAATTTTTTGACAAGGGGTATATATTATTTCTATAATAAAATAAGACATAAAACCTAGAGGAAACCACATGAGCAGAAGAAGGGATGGAGAGAGGAAAACAGAGAAGTGCAGAGAGCATCAGGAGAGGACACGGGCCAGCCACTGCAGAGCAGGAGAATGGGGCTGGGATGGGGCGCTCAAGACGTGTGAACAGCTGAAAAGAGAGATACGGTCACTGCTGTACTGCAGAAAGGTCTCCCTGACACACTACAGCCCGGAGGCCAAACCCCGCCCGCTACAGGTATACCTCATTTTACCGCACTTCGCAGGTACTGCGTTTTTTACAAATTGAAGGTTTGAGGCAACCCTGCCTCCAGCGAGTCTGTCGGCACCATTTTTCCAACAGCATTTGCTCACATTGTGTTGCTGGTGTCACATTTTGGTAATTCTCACGATATTTCAAACTTTTAAATTATTATTATGCTTGTTATACCGATCTGTGATCAGTCATCTCTAATGTTACTACCACGACTTGCTGAAGGCTCAGATGATGGTTAGGATTTTTTATAAATAAAGTATTTTTTAATTAAGGTAGATACATTGTTTTTGTAGACATAATGCTATGGCACACTTAACAGACTCCAGTATAGCGTGAACATAACTTTTACATGCGCTGGGAAACCAAAAACTCGTATGACTCTCTTTATTGCAATATTTGCTCCACTGCAGTGGTCTGGAACCGGAACTGCAGGCACACCCAAGATGTGCCTGTATCTGCTTTTGTAAAATAAGTTGTGTTGAAACACAGCTGCACCCACGCATTCATGGACTGTCTATGGCTACTTTCATGCTAAGTAATTACAATATGGACCATTATGGCCCAGAAGGCCTAAAATATTTACTATCTGGCCCTTTCTGAACCCTAGTCTATAGGATGTATCAGAGAAACTCCATGTATAGGAGAAACTACAAGAAATGAGGTGGTGGTCACAAGGGCCATCGTTTTGAGGGTGACATGGAGAATGACAGTTGCAGACAGATGAGTCTTGACAAATGTCTGTATCTACAATCAGATGGAAGAACAGAAAAAAGGCTCTTTTAAAGAAGGAGAGGCATTCATACCTTAGACAGTTACCATCATTTTATGCGATTACTATTTAAAAGTACAGCAGGAAAAAGCAGTCCCTGTGGCACTGGTTACCTGCAGGGTCGGAACTGTAGAGGCTGGCAGCTGCCGCTATGGTTCCTGGTGGGTGAATGGCACTCGCTGAAGACCTCTGGCTCGCGATCAGGATCCTGCTCTTGGCAGACGGTAAACGTGACATTGCACCCAATCCCAACTGGGGCTTAAGGAGCATGGCCGATCGATAGAAAGTTGGAGGAACTTCGTAGTGAGTATAGGAAGGAGGACAAAATTCTTCTTTTCCAGGGCGTTCTGTAACCTATGATAAATGACAAGAAGCTCAATCAGAGAACCGCACACCACAGGGTGAGTGCTGAACCTGGTCCGGAGACCAAGGCTCCAACAGTGACCACTCTGGAACCACTTTGCTGCTCCGTCACCCATCTCTTACCTTCTCTGGGCCCAATGTCTTCATCTCTAAGTTGACAACAACTAGATGAACCCTTAGGTCTATGCTGGTTTTAATACTCTATGAATCTACATTTCGCTGGGAGGAAAAAGAACTCCCTCCATCAGATTTTTAAATTTGATCACTACAAAATCATTGGAATTTGTGAACTAGTTAATCTATAAACGAGAAATGTCAATGACGCAAGGAAAGAATTTAGCAAATGTTCACAGAACTATGACAGTCTCGTTATCCCTAAGGAGAAAAGGCACAGTTTTCCTGGTGACCTAGTCTTACGATAAGCTGATGAACCTTATCAATTTATGTTAAGTATTAGGCTACTTAGGAAATAAAATATGCATTGTTAATGAGGGGGAAAAGGTTATTTGGAAGAATAGAGAAGTTAATGGAAAGATGTGTTTTCAGGCTTCTACATTCTTTTGACATAATTAAAAATGAGAGACTGTGAATTACCTCGGATTGTCTTCCCTAGTAAGGTGTTGCCTCCAGGAATGTCTGAGCAAGTTTCACTAGAATGGAAGTTTGGGGGCAGAGAGTCCTGCTGACTGCTGAATTCATAGCACCTAGAACAATGTCTAGCACAGAGCTGAAATCAACAAACATCTATTAAATAAAGGAATCATGTTTCAATCTTTCCTGAATCTAACAACAAAACATCATGTTACTGTTGCCTGTGATTAACAGTCTGGATTAGAATACAATTGATGGCTACCTTTTATATATGCAATTCTGTACTCACAAAGCCTGTTCATAGTATCAGTGTTTCTTCATGTTAAAAGTAAAAAAAAAAAAAAAAAAAAAAAAAAAAAAAAAAAAAAAAATTTTTTTTCTTTTTTGTTAAAAAAAAAAAAAAAAAAAAAAAAAAAAAAAAAAGACAACAAAATAATCTTATTTCCTTTAAGTTAAAAAAAGGGTGCCAGAGGCTATGTATGAAAAGACATAGATGTCAACTAACTCTGCTCTAAATCATAATACATCTTACGTGTCAAACCTCTATGCAGGAATCACAGGCATTTAACAATATTCTTTAATAGGGGCTATAAAGCTTTGATCCAGGCCGTTGAAGAGATAAACCCTTAATTTAATACTCTTTTACTGTTGAAATAGATATGAAGTTCTCCTTAAATTGACGTTATTGAAACAAAAGATGAGGCCTTTAAAGTTTTATCATAATCACATTGTAAAATATGCATGATTGCTATAGTACGTAGATGGAATTCAGGCCCCAGCAAATTATATTCCTGTGAAAGAACATTCTACATCTGCTCTCTGATAAAATTTTTACCATTTTCTACTTACTCTCTTACTGTCAATCTTTGGTTTTTCTATTATACTCATATTTGCTCAATTTTTTTTATTTTAGCGTCTAAGTGTTTGGTGTCACTGCTCATTGCTTTTAGCAGGTGCTCCCATGAAGAAATTATTATCATTTCTAACCTACATCTGTCAGGATTTTAGGATTGCAATGTCTTATCTCAGTAATTATTCTGTTCTTTCAAACTGTATAGGTTTCAGGGGTCAAAATCCATCATTCCATCATTTGAAAACGACCTTAACAATTTCAGGAACCTCAATGCCTGCCATTTTGTTGGGTAATTTGTCTCTGGTAAGATAAAAAATTCTTTGAAAAGGTGAAAAGTACTCCTTAGATGCCTAATCTACGCATTTTTAATAAAACAAGAGAGTCTACAAAAAGCTTCACACTCTTTTCTTTCATCTTTATTGACAGAACACAGCAGGTATCACCGTACAGTCATAAACACAGTGAGATTAACCCCAAATGGGTTTTTTCCCTCTTTCTCTAATGCAGTAGTTTTAGAGAAATAATTCTGAAACTAAAGAATCCTTGTGATTTCAAACAAACTCCTAAAATCCATCGGGGCACACACCACAAGCAACTAAGTTCTTACTGGGCTGTACCTCTTCCCATCTGCCCTGCCCTGTTCTCAGGGGACAGCGGGCTGGGGAGATAATGGGGCAAATGCAGAGGCTTCACTAAGAAGCTACCACAAGGAGAGGGCTCGTGACAGCTCACTTTGTCAACGTGATAGGCCACGTCACCCAGATATGTGGTTAAAGATTATCCTAGATGTTTCTCTAGTGCTGTTTTTCAGATGAGATCAACATTTAATTCAGTAGACCTTGAATAAAGCAGATTACTCTTCATCATGTGGGTGGGCCTCGTCCAATCAGTTGAAGGCCTTAACAGAAAAAGACCTCCCTTAAAGAAGAGGGAAATCTCCCAGCAGACGGCTTTTGAATTTAAACTGCAGCATCAACTCTTCCCTAGGTCTCCAGCCTGCCAGCCCACCCTGCATACTTTGGACTTGCCAGTCTCCACAACTGCACGCACCAATTCCTTAAAGTCTCAACAGACAGAAAGATACATACATATACATACCTGTATGTACAATCTGTTTCTCTGGAGAGCTCTGACAGGCACAGTGTCCTACAGTGATGAGGTGGTACCAGGGAGGAGCAGCAGGGTTCAGCCCTAATCACACACCTGTATGCTGTAAGCACACAAGCTCACCGGGTCCTCTGACTCTTGCTCCCTTCCCCCCACTTACACCAGTAATTAAAACGATTCCCGGGCTTCCCTGGTGGCACAGTGGTTGAGAATCCGCCTGCCGATGCAGGGGACACGGGTTCGAGCCCTGATCTGGGAGGATCCCACATGCCGCGGAGCAACTAGGCCCGTGAGCCACAGCTACTGAGCCTGCGCGTCTGGAGCCCATGCTCCGCAACAAGAGAGGCCACGATAGTGAGAGGCCACGATAGTGAGAGGCCTGCGCACCGCGATGAAGAGTGGCCCCCGCTCGCCGCAACTAGAGAAAGCCCTCGCACAGAAACGAAGACCCAACACAGCCCAAAATTAATTAATTAATTAATTAATTTTAAAAAAAATAAAAAGGATTCCCCCAAGAAGTCAATAGGAGGGAGTGTCCCAGAGGCCTCAGGATAGCTGAGAGCAGAAAGCAGTCTAAACAAGTCAGCATATTTTATCCTCCTGGCATGACTAGACCCACGATGACCTTCAGAGCCACTTCTGGGGGCTGAACACAGGAGGGGGACTCTCTGGGGTACACCAAGTCACAGCTACAGGAGCAAAGGGCAAAGGCCAGCCCATTCTCCACTTGTGATTAGAGACTACCGCAGAAATGAGCCCAGCACAACCCCTGGGGCTTCTCTGCTCTATCCTGTAGCCTGAGGAAAGGACCTGGGCCTCGAATGCTCTGATTACAGCAGGAAATGGTCCTCAGAGTGGCTGGTGCACAGTGGCACTGCTGTCCCCACACCAACGGGGTCTCCCCAAATCCCTCAGCACTACTAAAGCCGCACAAACACTCATACTATCCCACTTCCTGAAGACTTGGGGTGGCTTCTACAGGATTAAGAATAGAGAATATCTGGGGGGGATGTGCATCTATTATAGACATTACTGTATATTTTATGGAGAGAGTGGGAGCAACAAAGAAAGGAAACATACATAAAAAAATTAAGAAGGGTCAAAGAGATAGAACAGTAACAGGATTTTTGCCTACATCTCCAAATAGAGTTTCTTTCACAATTGTGTTTTGCAGAGAAAAATCTAGGGTATCTTTTTGTTTGGGGGGGTGGGGGTGGGGAGGGTACAAAATTACTTTATTTAACGAACTGTTACACATGAAAGTCTCCAATGAAGTGATTACTGAACAGAGACCTAAAGAACGTGAAGGAGAAAGACATTCAGATATCTGGGAGAAGAATATTCTGAGCAGAGGGAAGTGCAAAGGCCCTGAGGCAGCAGAGGGAGACAGAGAGTGAAGGAAGGAGAGGTGGTCGGGAAGTAAAGGAGCCAGATCGAGTGCATCCTAACAGCTGAGCATCCTATAGGCTCCAGCCCGTGTTCTGAGTGGCCTGAGCAGACGTGGAGGGTGTCAGGGAGAGAAACGATCTGATGCTGCTTTCCTCTTAATTGATCACTGGCTGCCATGAGACTGCATCCAGACAAAACCTTCCTTCTGAGCTCTGGGAGCACAACTCGCCATAGCACCCCAGTACTGAGAGGGGCCACAGAGTGAGGAAACTGGGTGGGTGTGGGTGAGCATCTCAGTGCTGTCCTTGTTTTGCTGCCTTGGATGAGTGACTCAGAGCTCTCCAAGTCTGCTTCCTCATCTGAACAATGATAAGAACCACAATCCCACCCTCCAGAGAATCACTGCAAGGATTAGTGAAGACCAGCAAAGATTAAATGTGATGTTATGTGGGCCCAATGCATAGCAGACACTCAACTAAATGTTAGTTGTAATTACTGTTTTGACTTAAAACAGAGCCCATGCCTAACACATTATTTCCTACTCACTGTGCTCTTGGCATGGACGAATACAAGATTCTCCCAGAAGGGAAATACTCCCCCTCACAGGATGAAGTCTGACTAATTTGAACAATATATTTATTTTGGATTTTTTTCCATTGACCTAGAAGAATTATGCTCCCTTATTTAAACAAGGAAGCCGGTTTGAATGCACACCTATCTAACTTTTGTGCATTATGTCAGGTAGAATTTAAATGACTCTCTTCAGACGTGAGCTCCATCTCATCTGATCATCAAACTCTTCTCATCGAAAGTGTCCATGTGCCTACGACCTCCTCTAGCTAAAACCGTCCATTTCTGTACAAGAGCATCCATCAGAATCTGCAATTTGCTAAGAGAGGAAATTCTGTTTTCACCATTCATAGAAAATACACAACCGACTTTAGGACGTTCAACTTATAGACTGTATCACAGTGACATTCTCTTACCTCCTGTAAAAACTTTTCACTCATCTGACTGAAGGGGTGTCCCGGGGGCTTGATCCCAGACACCACCAGTCCGGAGCTGAACACCCGGGGTCTCTGCAGGTCTGGCTTGAACTTGTCGTAGAGACCGGCGGCCGGCTTCAGGTCTCCACCTGCCGCCTTCTCCTCTTTGGGGAGAGGCATGTTACACGAGGGCGGGGCATAAGGTAGCCCCACGGGAACCAGAGACGCATCCACCTGGCCGAGGGCCTGAGGGCTCCTCCGGATGTAGGTGATGATCTTGGGCCTCACGTGCTTGGGCTTGGGCATAACGAGGGGCCGGGGATCCGCCCTTTCTTCCGTCTTTTCAACCTGGGGGCCCTCTGTTCCCTCCTGTGAGGTGGGTGTGTCCTCGGGACGGGTGAGGCCAGGCTTGGGGATCCCACCAGGGCAGGGGTTCTTGTCAGGCACTTTCAGGGAAGCGTGTGACAACCTGGAGCTGTGGGCAGAAGGCGGGGCGGCCGGGGGGACCCCCGCGTCCCCATTCAAGGCGCCCAAGTCCAGAAAACGGCTGCTGGGTTGCACGGGCTGGCAGGCCACATTCACGGTTGTCTCTGGGTGGAGGGGCGCTGGGACTCCGGGAAGAGAATCTGCCCTTGCTTGGGGGGTGCTTTCAGTCTTCACTGCAGTCTCTAGACGGTTCCTAGTCTCAGCAACAGATGTAGCGATCTCTGTGCTTTCCCCAGCTTCTGAGCTGCTGCTTGGAGGGTCGGGGGGCTCAGGGACCCCAGTTCCGCTCTCTCCAACAGAACGATCTGAATTAAAAACCGTAGCGCCGTCGCCGTTCCCACCGCCCAGAACCCCTCTCTCCTCACTGGCACCTGAGGGCCTGCTGTCAGTCAGATGACCAGGAACAAAAGCGACGTGACCATCCCTGGGTGAAACACTGCTGGATGGGGCTTCACCCGGTTTCCTAGCTGCACTTGGTGAACTTCTGCCCACGGGCTGATGCTCAGCAGCTCCCAAGGAAGCGGGGCTCAGCTTGGGGGTGGTCTGGAGAGACCCCTCTTCACCCCTCTTTTCCTGCTCGCCCCTGCCTCTTCCCATACCCGGCGGGTGGGGACCGCTGTGTGCCGCAGCCAAGGCTTCTTGCTGTGCTCCCTCTGTACGCGGCTCCTTTCTCCCTAGGGATGACACGCCATCCTCCTGAGGACATCCCAGCCCCTCCGCCTGGGTGGACTGGAACTCCTGCACGGCCCTGAGCTGGACAAGTTTCAGCTCCATCTTGGGCTCGGGCTTTCCCTGACCTGACTGTGCTTCTGGCTTCCTCAGGATGTCTTTCGAGGCTGGAGAGGAACTGGGAGTGCACTCTGGGTGGGCGGAAGGCTCTGTGCTCTGGGTGCTAACTTTGGGTACCTGTCCCCCATCCGGCTGGGTCTCTAAGGGGGTGGTCTCCTTGATTACTGAGGTAGATGGTTTAGGATGGCGTGAGCTCTTTCCCCCTGAGGTCCCATCAGCTGGAAGACAAGCCAGCCCTGGAGAAGGGGCTGCCCCCATCTTCTGCGGCCCCTCCCCACCACTGGGTACCGGACAGGGGGCTTCTGGGGACCCCAGCACTGCAGGCTGTGGAAGCGGCCAGGCCAGGCCCCCAGCCCACTCCTTGGTAAGCATGTCCACTGCTACAGCAGAGCTGCCGGCTCTCTCCAGAGAACGCCTCCTCAATTCCGCATTGTCAAGGGTCTTGGCCAACTTATCCTTGGGAACATGCCGGGGAACGTCAACCTCCCTCTGAGCCGAAACCTCTGGGCTGGCCTCACCTGTGACAGTCCTCCAACTTGGTTGACATTGTCCCTGAAGACCCCGAGGGGCCTGCACGGGATCTGTGCCTCTTTCCACCATGGGCTCTTCATTCCGTTCTCTCTGAGCCATCGGAGAAAATTTAAAATCCTTCAGGCTGGCAGGGCCAACCTGAGATGCCTTCGAAAAGCCCTGAAGGGGGTGAAACTCCTTCTGGACACGGGTACTACTTTCTGGCCCGCTTGAATTTGCATTTCCAATTTCATCTGTCAGGGCACACGTCACAGGCTCATCAGGAGAGGAGCTGACCTCCAACATGACGGGGTTGGCATTGGTGTCTCCCAGACTTAGGACGCTCTCATTGTTGTTTTTCACTCCATTTCTGTTGTCCCGTAACTCAGTGTAACATGATTTCTTAGGAGCCACTGGGACACTCATTTTCCAGCCTTCAGTGGGGGCTGCCTGCCATGCAGTCCTCCTTAATGGAAAGGGGCTTCCTTCAAGCTGCTACCTGGTGAACAGGGAATTCTCAAGCTGCTTGTTGCCCCCTGACAGCATCACTGGGCGATCCTGTCTTCATCATTTTCAGAGCAGTTTTAAAACTGGGCATTGTCTCGATACACAGCAGGATGACTTATCTGTTAGGTTCCAGCTGAACGAGAGCCAATTAGCCCATGAGACCTAGAGAGAAATAAAAAGAAAAGCGCGCTAGATTGACAGATATAGAGTCTCGGGAGAAAAAAGAAGCATATGGTAAACACAGATTTATTCATCACTTTCCTACTCTTACTTCATTCACTCAATCCAGGTACTATTTCTCAAAAGCCTTTTTAGACAGGGGCTCCTGCTGGCCAAATATGGGAAACTGTAACATCAAAACGATTAATGTTAGAAGTGGATTATAAATACATAGTAAATCTTAAATTTGTATTTTAAAAATTCACAAGTTGATACTGATTAAAAAGAGCAGAGGAGAAAGGAAGGCTCTTCTTCACAGAATACCAACTAACATACAAAAAATTAGACAATTAGAAAAATCACCACTTTGTATTCACCAGAGTAATAATTACCTTGGATGAGGGATGCCAACAGTTGCTAAAATCACTGAGGGCAAAACTGTTGGGGAACAGGATATTTACAGAATCTTAAAGCACCACCCTCCAGATTATTTTATTTCTTACAAAGGAAAATTTCATGTGTACAATGGAGAAAGCTGGTAGACACCATCAAATGTAACATCATCATTATGGAAAGTGCTATCATGTGCTCCAGATGTTAGGCCTCACATCCCCTATGAGAGTATCCCTGCTGTAAATGTTCAACCTGAGTTTAATCATGAGGAAATAATCAGGCAAATTTAAATTGATGGGCATTCTACAAAATAGCTGGGCTAAACTTGCCCCCCAAAACACCAAGGGATATCTGCACACAATGCATGATCCTTGACTGGATCCTGGAATTTTAAAAAAGTTAGCAGAGAACATTGGCACAATTCAAGATTTAAATATGGACAATCTATTGGGTAAAGGCATTTTATCAATGTTAACTTTCTTGGGTGTGTCACAGTATCACAATTATACCAGAGATAACCTGTGTTCCTGGAAGATACATGATATTAAACATGACATGCTTTTTAACATGACATGTTGCCTGTAACTTACTCTCAAATGGTCAGCAAAGAGAAAAATGTGTGTGTGTGTGTGTGTGTGTGTGTGTGTGAAAGAGAGAGAGCACACAAACATGGGAAAACGTTAGCAATTTGAAAATCTAGGTGATCCACTCGACTACACCTGCAACTTTTGTATAGGTTTGACACTTTTCAAAATAAAAAGTTGGAAGAAATTCTAGTAGCCTGCGAGTCCTGGATGATCCAGCCCCTACATACCTTTCTAGCCTCATTTCCTCTCATCCTTTTCTTTCCTAGGCTGCAGCCACACTCCTCATTCCTCACGTTACCATGTTCCTTTCTCCCTGCTTCCATACATGTATATTTGTACACATACTAAACATGTACATGTGTATATATACCATATATGTACATCTACATATATGTACATTTGTATGTATCTATTATAAAACAAAATAACATAATAAACAAGAAAACCAAAGGACCGAAAAATCACCAATAACTTGCAGCCACCCTCATGCTCCTCTCCATCCCAGCCCCCATCTTCCCAACTTAACTTTTCACTTGACAGCCTCCCATGGGCACCCCTAAGAACTCAGCTGATGGAGCTCTCTTTTCCTTCCGTTTGTTTGCATCTGTACATAAGCATGTACGTTTTCCATAAATGACATCATTTCCTATAAGCTGGGTTTTGGTCAGTTTTTTTTTTTTATTTCCCCCTTCTTCCTCCTCCCCAGCCCCTTGCACAAGGCACAGTGACATCCTGATCTAGGACTTTCCATTCCTTTCCCCATGTTCGTAGAATCCTGTCCAAATACACACACCTGTGCACAGGTCTGCACTTTCATCTCCCTGCTATGCCGCACTTGCATTCTGTCCCTGTCGCACTCAGGTCCTCATCCTCCCACCCGCTTCAGCCCTGGATCCTGCTTTCTTTTTCTCCTTCTCTGCCCTCTTCCAGGCCTGTCTTCAGTAGGCCAGTGGTACCCCCAGGTCCAGCCCCAAGCCTAACCAAGGTGCTGACACTCTGATCCCAGCCTCCGTTCCCAGATACAGAGGGGAGTCTCAAAGCATCCATATTTCTTTCATTATTCAGTTTTCAAGGTGCTTTCCTTGTGCCTCTGGGCAGAAATACAAAAAGCATGTAGGCAAATCATTAAGACAGCAGTTTAAAAGAACACCGTGCTCTCTGGGTCGGGAAATGGGCGTCCTGGAAAGTCATGGAGAGCAAGACATTCCATAAATGTGAGCCAACCAGGCAAAGTAAGCATCTCTAATTCTCTGTGGGCAGAATTATAAGCATGAAGCCAAGAGCCCTCTTGGGTTTGAACTATCGAGGCTGGAAGAAGGAAATAAATGCATTCTTCTCAGCAGTGACAAACCAAACCAGAGCATTCAGACACCACAATCCACAATGTGAGTGCTAGAGAGTGACAAGCAGGTGTAAAATCTTGCTAGAAAGAATTGTACCTTAATATTTAAGAATTACATAACAGATGTTCTCTGTCAGTAAACAATAAGCATTGCTCATTGGAAAGACGATGGAAAGCTAGAACCTTCTAGGGGCCGAGTATTATTCTCAGCACTGATACATGTTTGTAAGTTTTAAATTGTAATTACTTTTATTTAATTTTTAATTTTAATTTAAGTTAAACTATTTAAAATTTGTAATGGCCTCCAGAAACAGATCTTCACATCTCCTTGCTTTTTTTCTCTGCCTCTCCAGGTAAGGAAATGACAACACAGAGAGGGTAACATTCCCAAAGTCACACAGCTAAGATGTGACAGAGCAGGGATAGAGGTAGGAAAGTAAAATCCATGCAGAAAGTGGAAGCTGTAAAAGAAAAGCTGCCTATTGGTGAAATTATACAGATCACAGGGAAGAATAAAAGGAAAAGTCACTATCATAAGAACAAGGATAGAAAAGCAAAACCAGAAACCAAAACAGGATAGGAAGCTCACACAAGACAGGAAAAGCAAATTTTAAAACCTTCAATTATAAAAGGCAAAATTATATACAGGAGGTAATGTTTCCTGTTTCCTTCCCTTCTTGCACAGATTCACTCCTCCCCCCTCGAGCGCCACTGTTTCACCAGAAGACAGTCACAGAATCTACATGGGCAAGAGGTTTTTTCTGGATCTGGATTTCACTCCAGGGTACTCTACTGAGATAAACATCCCTCCCACCCCAGCACAAACATGATCGTAAAAATCCAGACTTATAGGGCTTCCCTGGTGGCGCAGTGGTTGAGAGTCCGCCTGCCGATGCAGGGGACACGGGTTCGTGCCCCGGTCCAGGAAGATCCCACAGGCCACGGAGCGGCTGGGCCCATGAGCCGTGGCCGCCGAGCCTGCGCTTCCGGAGCCTGTGCTCTGCAACGGGAGAGGCCACAACAGCGAGAGGCCCGTGTACCGCAAATAAATAAATAAATAAAATCCAGACTTATAATACAGGAGTGTGTGATTAAACAAAAAATGCTATTATGTCAACCAACTGTGCCGACCCCGCCCCGCTTAAGGTGCATTTTCCCAGGGTGAGGCGTGTAGCTTTCATATGCTTCACATTCATGGCTGTCAAAAGTTACAAACAATGGCCTTAGCAGTAAATGGCAACTTATCCTGGTAAATAATCCATTAACTAAAGTCCTCGGTCCAAAAGGAGTGTAATGATTTTTCTAGGCCCATAGCCTATCTCATGCTTACTAATCTTCCAAGTAGCACCCCCTACTACTAGGGTGAAAACCTATTCTCCCAGCTAAGGAACTCAGATTCTCCTCAGCTGGAACAGCTTTTAAAAACTCCCAACACCTAAGCACACACACTAGGGAGCCCAAAGTGCCACTTACACAGGGTGCTCAGAGCTGCACACAATAATCAGCGCTGGGTGCATCAACCAGGGTCATGTGACAAAAAGACTTCCATTCTTAGGTTATACCTCTAACCACACCATCTAAGAACATGACAGCTTCATACAAATCCTGTTGATTCCATATCATCCACAGAATGCCAAAGCATCTTATGAATTACTCCTAAACTACACTAACTCAATCCTAAAAATTTGCAAGTGGCTTTTAGCACCCATGGTAGGACTATAAAAACACATGTCTTGAGCTACATCTTGCTGGTCTATGTCCCTTGTTCAATTCTATTTAAAACTTTTTGGGCCCACCCTCAATTTTTCATCCCAAATATTTGCAATCCATTCTGTTTTCATACCATCTTGGAAGAGGTAAGTGCACCTTCCAGGTTATCATTCATTCACTGATGCCAGAGTCAGCAGAACAAGGCAGGGGGCAGAGCGCAGCACATGGAGCAGGGAGAAGTAACTCCTTACTTCCTCATCAGCACCCCGTGGCCGTCCACAGGTGCCCCTCCACCCACCAGGCCCCACAGTCACTGAGCACACCCCATCTTGTCCACAAGGACGTCGTAAGAGGACATACTTTGTCAAGCATGTTACTGAGATAATTATCACTTCACCTCCCACCCAAAAGAAAAAGAGAAGATGAAAATGAAGAAAGAAGAGAAAATGAAACCGTTATCCCATGACCTGTTCTCCATGCTACCCTGCATTCTCCTAAGGACCGCTGTTTACTTTTCTCAGTACTCGAAACTAGCCAATTACCAATGCTTTTTCATCCAACGTGGGCTCAGCATCAGGCTCTACTGACGTGTAGTTTAAACATCGCACCCTCTTCCTTGCCAACAAACAAAATTGTCTTTGCCCATCATTAACAATCAAGCATGTCTGCAGCTCTCCCCAGCTCACAATCTCTGCTAATGGTTTGACCATCTTATCTAGATGGAACCTTTTCCATTGAATATGCAT